GTGTCTCTTTGTAGTTATTTGTGTGGCTTGGTAGTCTACTAGTGTCTCTTTGTAGATCTTTGTGTGGCTTGGGTAGTCTTCTAGTGTCTCTTTGTAGATCTTTGTGTGGCTTGGTAGTCTTCTTGTGTCTCTTTGTAGATATTTGTGTGGCTTGGTAGTCTACTAGTGTCTCTTTGTAGATCTTTGTGTGGCTTGGTAGTCTACTAGTGTCTCTTTGTAGATCTTTGTGTGGCTTGGTAGTCTTCTTGTGTCTCTTGTAGATCTTTGTGTGGCTTGGTAGTCTTCTAGTGTCTCTTTGTAGTTCTTGTGTGGCTTGGTAGTCTTCTAGTGTCTCTTTGTAGATCTTTTGTGTGGCTTGTAGTCTTCTTGTTTCTCTTTGTAGATCTTTGTGTGGCTTGGTAGTCCTTCTAGTGTCTCTTTGTAGATCTTTGTGTGGCTTGGTAGTCTTCTAGTGTCTCTTTGTAGATCTTTGTGTGGCTTGGTAGTCTTCTTGTGTCTCTTTGTAGATCTTTGTGTGGCTTGGTAGTCTACTAGTGTCTCTTTGTAGTTCTTTTGTGTGGCTTGGTAGTCTTCTAGTGTCTCTTTGGTAGATCTTTGTGTGGCTTGGTAGTCTACTAGTGTCTCTTTGTAGATCTTTGTGTGGCTTGGTAGTCTACTAGTGTCTCTTTGTAGTTCTTTGTGTGGCTTGTAGTCTACTAGTGGTCTCTTTGTAGTTCTTTGTGTTGCTTGGTAGTCTTCTAGTGTCTCTTTGTAGTTCTTTGTGTGGCTTGGTAGTCTTCTAGTGTCTCTTTGTAGATCTTTGTTGTGGCTTGGTAGTCCTACTAGTGTCTCTTATGTAGTTCTTTGTGTGGCTTGGTAGTCTTCTAGTGTCTCTTTGTAGTTCTTTGTGGTGGCTTGGGTAGTCTTCTAAGTGTCTCTTTGTAGATCTTTGTGTGGCTTGGTAGTCTACTAGTGTCTCTTTGTAGATCTTTGTGTGGCTTGGTAGTCTTCTTGTGTCTCTTTGTAGATCTTTGTGTGGCTTGGTAGTCTTCTAGTGTCTCTTTGTAGATCTTTGTGTGGCTTGGTAGTCTTCTAGTGTCTCTTTGTAGATCTTTGTGTGGCTTGGTAGTCTTCTTGTGTCTCTTTGTAGATCTTTGTGTGGCTTGGTAGTCTTCTTGGTGTCTCTTTGTAGTTCTTTGTGTGGGCTTGGGTAGTCTTCTAGTGTCTCTTTGTAGATCTTTGTGTGGCTTGGTAGTCTTCTAGTGTCTCTTTGTAGTTCTTTGTGTGGCTTGGTAGTCTACTACTGTCTCTTTGTAGTTCTTTGTGTGGCTTGGTAGTCTTCTAGTGTCTCTTTGTAGTTCTTTGTGTGGCTTGGTAGTCTACTAGTGTCTCTTTGTAGATCTTTGTGTGGCTTGGTAGTCTACTAGTGTCTCTTTGTAGTTCTTTGTGTGGCTTGGTAGTCTTCTAGTGTCTCTTTGTAGTTCTTTGTGTGGCTTGGTAGTCTTCTAGTGTCTCTTTGTAGATCTTTGTGTGGCTTGGTAGTCTACTAGTGTCTCTTTGTAGTTCTTTGTGTGGCTTGGTAGTCTACTAGTGTCTCTTTGTAGATCTTTGTGTGGCTTGGTAGTCTACTAGTGTCTCTTTGTAGTTCTTTGTGTGGCTTGGTAGTCTTCTAGTGTCTCTTTGTAGTTATTTGTGTGGCTTGGTAGTCTACTAGTGTCTCTTTGTAGATCTTTTTGTGGCTTGGTAGTCTTCTAGTGTCTCTTTGTAGATCTTTGTGTGGCTTGGTAGTCTTCTTGTGTCTCTTTGTAGATCTTTGTGTGGCTTGGTAGTCTACTAGTGTCTCTTTGTAGATCTTTGTGTGGCTTGGTAGTCTTCTTGTGTCTCTTTGTAGATCTTTGTGTGGCTTGGTAGTCTTCTAGTGTCTCTTTGTAGATCTTTGTGTGGCTTGGTAGTCTTCTAGTGTCTCTTTGTAGTTCTTTGTGTGGCTTGGTAGTCTACTAGTGTCTCTTTGTAGTTCTTTGTGTGGCTTGGTAGTCTTCTAGTGTCTCTTTGTAGATCTTTGTGTGGCTTGGTAGTCTTCTAGTGTCTCTTTGTAGATCTTTGTGTGGCTTGGTAGTCTACTAGTGTCTCTTTGTAGATCTTTGTGTGGCTTGGTAGTCTACTAGTGTCTCTTTGTAGATCTTTGTGTGGCTTGGTAGTCTTCTAGTGTCTCTTTGTAGATCTTTGTGTGGCTTGGTAGTCTTCTAGTGTCTCTTTGTAGTTCTCTGTGTGGCTTGGTAGTCTTCTAGTGTCTCTTTGTAGTTCTTTGTGTAGCTTGGTAGTCTTCTAGTGTCTCTTTGTAGATCTTTGTGTGGCTTGGTAGTCTTCTAGTGTCTCTTTGTAGTTCTTTGTGGCTTGGTAGTCTACTAGTGTCTCTTTGTAGTTCTTTGTGTGGCTTGGTAGTCTTCTAGTGTCTCTTTGTAGATCTTTGTGTGGCTTGGTAGTCTACTAGTGTCTCTTTGTAGATCTCTGTGTGGCTTGGTAGTCTTCTAGTGTCTCTTTGTAGTTCTTTGTGTGGCTTGGTAGTCTTCTAGTGTCTCTTTGTAGTTCTTTGTGTGGCTTGGTAGTCTTCTAGTGTCTCTTTGTAGTTCTTTGTGTGGCATGGTAGTCTACTAGTGTCTCTTTGTAGTTCTTTGTGTGGCTTGGTAGTCTTCTAGTGTCTCTTTGTAGTTCTTTGTGTGGCTTGGTAGTCTTCTAGTGTCTCTTTGTAGTTCTTTGTGTGGCTTGGTAGTCTTCTAGTGTCTCTTTGTAGTTCTTTGTGTGGCTTGGTAGTCTACTAGTGTCTCTTTGTAGTTCTTTGTGTGGCTTGGTAGTCTTCTAGTGTCTCTTTGTAGATCTTTGTGTGGCTTGGTAGTCTTCTAGTGTCTCTTTGTAGATCTCTGTGTGTCTTGGTAGTCTTCTAGTGTCTCTTTGTAGTTCTTTGTGTGGCTTGGTAGTCTTCTAGTGTCTCTTTGTAGTTCTTTGTGTGGCTTGGTAGTCTTCTAGTGTCTCTTTGTAGATCTTTGTGTGGCTTGGTAGTCTTCTAGTGTCTCTTTGTAGATCTCTGTGTGTCTTGGTAGTCTTCTAGTGTCTCTTTGTATATCTTTGTGTGGCTTGGTAGTCTTCTAGTGTCTCTTTGTAGTTCTTTGTGTGGCTTGGTAGTCTTCTAGTGTCTCTTTGTAGTTCTTTGTGTGGCTTGGTAGTCTACTAGTGTCTCTTTGTAGATCTTTGTGTGGCTTGGTAGTCTTCTAGTGTCTCTTTGTAGTTCTTTGTGTGGCTTGGTAGTCTTCTAGTGTCTCTTTGTAGTTCTTTGTGTGGCTTGGTAGTCTACTAGTGTCTCTTTGTAGTTCTTTGTGTGGCTTGGTAGTCTTCTAGTGTCTCTTTGTAGTTCTTTGTGTGGCTTGGTAGTCTTCTAGTGTCTCTTTGTAGATCTTTGTGTGGCTTGGTAGTCTTCTAGTGTCTCTTTGTAGATCTTTGTGTGGCTTGGTAGTCTTCTAGTGTCTCTTTGTAGTTCTTTGTGTGGCTTGGTAGTCTTCTAGTGTCTCTTTGTAGTTCTTTGTGTGGCTTGGTAGTCTACTAGTGTCTCTTTGTAGTTCTTTGTGTGGCTTGGTAGTCTTCTAGTGTCTCTTTGTAGTTCTTTGTGTGGCTTGGTAGTCTTCTTGTGTCTCTTTGTAGTTCTTTGTGTGGCTTGGTAGTCTTCTAGTGTCTCTTTGTAGTTCTTTGTGTGGCTTGGTAGTCTTCTAGTGTCTCTTTGTAGTTCTTTGTGTGGCTTGGTAGTCTTCTAGTGTCTCTTTGTAGTTCTTTGTGTGGCTTGGTAGTCTTCTAGTGTCTCTTTGTAGATCTTTGTGTGGCTTGGTAGTCTACTAGTGTCTCTTTGTAGATCTTTGTGTGGCTTGGTAGTCTACTAGTGTCTCTTTGTAGATCTTTGTGTGGCTTGGTAGTCTACTAGTGTCTCTTTGTAGTTCTTTGTGTGGCTTGGTAGTCTTCTAGTGTCTCTTTGTAGATCTTTGTGTGGCTTGGTAGTCTTCTAGTGTCTCTTTGTAGTTCTTTGTGTGGCTTGGTAGTCTTCTAGTGTCTCTTTGTAGTTCTTTGTGTGGCTTGGTAGTCTTCTAGTGTCTCTTTGTAGATCTTTGTGTGGCTTGGTAGTCTACTAGTGTCTCTTTGTAGATCTTTGTGTGGCTTGGTAGTCTACTAGTGTCTCTTTGTAGATCTTTGTGTGGCTTGGTAGTCTACTAGTGTCTCTTTGTAGTTATTTGTGTGGCTTGGTAGTCTTCTAGTGTCTCTTTGTAGATCTTTGTGTGGCTTGGTAGTCTTCTAGTGTCTCTTTGTAGTTCTTTGTGTGGCTTGGTAGTCTTCTAGTGTCTCTTTGTAGTTCTTTGTGTGGCTTGGTAGTCTTCTAGTGTCTCTTTGTAGTTCTCTGTGTGGCTTGGTAGTCTTCTAGTGTCTCTTTGTAGTTCTTTGTGTGGCTTGGTAGTCTACTAGTGTCTCTTTGTAGTTCTTTGTGTGGCTTGGTAGTCTTCTAGTGTCTCTTTAAGTCTCTTTGCGGTCATTATGTGTCCCGTTGTAGTTATGTTTGGCCTCTTGTTAGAGGTTGCATTGTCTCTTTCTAGTTTTTTTTTGTAGTTTAATAAGTCTCTCATAGTCATATCTTATTGTTTTTGTGTCTTGAAAACCAGGGGCCATCAGGAGTAGCAGTTCTGGTAAAAGAGATAAGCACCAGTGTAATAGTAGTAGTAGCAGTAATAGCAGTAGCAAAAGTAGTTGATGCAGTAGTTGAAGTAAAGTCACAGTATAGTAGTAGAAAAGCAAAAGCAGTTGCTAATGTAGTTATAGAAAGGGAGAATAAATCCATATAATGAAGATAAAGATGACAGTTGTAAGAAGGAGGGGCAGGAGGAGGTCTTCTCTCTAGCACTTACAGTACAATGTCCTCTCTTATAGCTAACGTCCTTGCAGAGTCTCTTTGTATGAAGGTGTCAGCTAAATGAAATGCTCTCCTGTACCTGGGGTGCCTCTGCGGGCCTGAGCGATGGTGAGCTTCTCATGAGGGGCGCGACAATCACAACTGCTCTCCCTGGCAAAGATGGCCGGCTTTGTCAGAGTCTGCAGGAGAAGGAGACGGGGTTATATATATATAATGCAGCTCATGTGTCTTACTGTGAAGGATGTCCACCCCCCATCCCTTCTGTGGTACTTAATGTCTCCCTTTCCACATTTACAGTGACCTCCATTAGGTTATCCTGACCGAAGCTGATGCATGATCCATATTTGGGAGAGCTGCTCTCAGTGTTATTGATCATGTGTGCAGACATGTAGCCTACTTCTATGTGCATTACAATGTGGAATAAAACAAGGGCAGAGCTGTCGAGAGTAACATTCAAAGGAAAGAATAACCTGAAGATGTGAATCCAGTGGTGATTTGAACGGGGAGAAACCCATAAATGAATGTAGATTAAGCAGCGACAAGGAAACAAAGGCAGACAAGGACGAGTCAGATAACACATGATGCCGGTTGGTGCTTGTCGACGGCTACATCAAGGTTAAAGTGTTGCAACGCCTGGAAAATGTGTCTTTGTCTGCCATCTGTTGACTGCAGGGAACAGTCACTGGATGTGAAAGGGAGTGTGCACGGAGCAGAAAGCAGTGGGAGTGTGAAAGGAGGATGAAAATAAAATGGAAACAGTTTCAGTCTCTGTGGACAACGGAGAAAATCCACGTCATCGCATCCTCCAGGAACAGCAACAAACAGACTGGGGAACACGGACATAGACGGGCAAATGTAAAATCAGCGCTTTTAATAACCGTGCAGAGAAAGGGAGAGTTTGATATTTTGAGCGGGGTTTGTTTAGAATATTTTCATTTACACCACTCCTTTGACAAAGAGAGTCATTTTGCTTCACTTAACCTTCACGATCAACAATATGGCGTTTTTTTTTCAAATTCTTCTCTCAGTTTTCTGACATTTTTACATTTTGTATGTGGTTTTTTGAACTTTAGAATAACATATAACACTTTCCTCTGACAGGGAATGATGACTTTTGGGCAAGGAAGATTAAATGACATGTTCTTTTTTTGCTTAGTAGTTGGGTCTAGAACCTCAATTCCGTGACCATTCTTCTGCTAAGATGTTTTGACACTTGATTTGACATCATTGGACCTTTTATAAAAAATATAGACCCAAGGTCCCTCCCAAAAATCCCGGCAATTTTTGCTAGAGGGCCAAATCCAAGATGGCTGCTCGCGCCATCTTAAAAAATTAACTTTTGAACCAGAGCGCCTAGAGTCATGTGTAAATGCACTTTTTGAGGTAAGTCGGCCACAAGGATTCAATTTCTGACATCAGTTTGGTGCGATGACATCGTTCGGACCCACAAATCCAAGATGGCCACCATCCGGTCGAGAAAATATACACGTTTTGAACGGGAACATGCAGGATCACGAGGTACCGGTCACGGCAGTAGAACAAGCACTCACTGTTATAAACTGAAGTATGTATATGTACTATATATGGGGGCGGAGCTTCCTACAGAGCCTAGAGCGCCACCCAGAGGGGGGCGCCACAAATAAAAAAATAAAAAAATAAAAACGTTTGCTGGGCGCAGTTTTGGCTCTATATCTGCAACCATTATTTAAAAAAAAAAAATAATAATCTAACATAAGGGAAAATGAGCCAAAAATCTAAAATGGTCGGTCGGTCTAAGAGCCTCAGCTTTAAGTGTTCACAGTCAGAACATGCTAGAGCGCTGTGCATTGATGGGTATCTGTCAAGTGTTTTTAAAATTGAGCGTTGAGGAAAGAAAGACTAACGTTAGAGAACTGTGAAGAGGCAAAAGCCATCGGGGCGCAGTATAAAAACAGAAGAAAAGAAGAAGAAGAGAAACGTGCCAAGTTGAAAGGTAGGCTATGCCATTTTGATTGTATTGTCAACATTAGCGAATGGATCATGTAATCTTGCTAGTTAGCCAAGCCAACGTTAGCTAGCCAGCGTTTGTTATTACCATTCAGTAGAAACTGTCATAAGGCTATTTTTGTTGTGTCATGAAATAGAAATATTAGTAATAATAACAATGTTAGTTTTGGTGTAGCGAGCTACACGTTAAGTTTACCTCAGAAAGCAGATTGACTATCCGAGTCAAAAATTTGCCAAATTCAACCCTGTCATAATGTGCGCTAACGTTAGCTAACTAGCTCAGTGGTTCTCAACTCCAGTCCTGTTGAATGTTTTCGTTCCAACCCAGAACTAACACACCTGATTCAACTGTTCTAATAAGATAGTCATAGCTCTTGATTAGTTGAATCAGACCTGTCAGGCTGTCCAAATGCTTACTAACTAAATAATAGCTACATTTAACAAATGGAAATTATTCTTAATTTCTTATCTGCCCCCATATCAATATCTAATACGTAGGCCTACTTGTGTTTCTTATAGGGATTCATGAGTATGCCGCACGATATGGATCATAGCTTGTGACAATGTCCAACATTCCGTGTATCCTGCAGTGTGGAAGGGTTTGCAGCAAAGCCACCGATGCCATTACCTCAATTGAAAAATGGGACACTCTAAAGAACAATACAGAGTTATGGAGCGGTCTTGACAAGTTCGGAGACGTCCATACATCCATCGACTGGGATACAGGTCCCGTCGGACACTGTGTCCATGATACATGTAGGTTGACCTTATGCAATGCCACAAAACTGGAACAGGCCAACAACAGACAGAAAAAACGAGTTGTCGATGAATTCCAAGCTCAGTCTTCGTCTACGTCTGACATTAGTTCCACAGCTGCAACTCCATCTTTCAAGCGGCTGCGATCTAGTCTAGGGCTGATACACGATAAAAATAAATGTGTGTGGTGTTGTAAGACGGAGTCGGCAAAACATCCAGAATCAAAGTTGGTCCTGATTTCGTACGATCATGCATGGGCAGCGTTCAAGAGCCATACGGTGGCTCTGGAAGATGAACTAATGCGCGACAGAATCAACTGTCTGATCAATTATGCAGCTGATCAGCCGTATGCACTTGAGATCAGATATCATCACAAATGCTGGTTTAAATATGTTCGTAACTACCAGAGAATGAGTGAAGATGACAAACTTCCCCACATGCACAATGTCACTCTCCGTGAAGCTCAGACAATTTTCTTTGATAACATCAGAACAGTTATCTTTATTTAACTCCAACGGCACCTTCAGAAAGACACAGAAGAGCATGCTCGTGCAGAAGCTCTCTCTGGAATCTATAGATCTGCAGGAATCATACATCGCTCTTGTGGACATGGGCATGATCTGGAGGATGGCAACTCCATCAGCAGAGGATCGGCGGACGCAAGATGGCAACCCATACAAGTGGTCGGACTATGTCCACAAGCTATCATCTATTATCCTTGCACGCCATCATAATGCTCACCGTATCATATGTGTGAACGACCCGTACGACACAGCATACTCGACGAAGGATGACGAGCGAGACCTGAGGGTACAGGGAAACACACATGTGCCCAACACCTACATGAAATTGGGTGACGCATTCCCCACTGCCAGAATGTTCAAGACGCTGCTGTGTAGCTCCAGCAACAAGGGGCGGCTGCAGAAAAATGATATGCAGCTACCTGACCGATCTTGCACAGAGTGTTGATGTGGAGATTGTCTACTCTGTCGGCTCCCACTGTACCAACTTATCAACCCAACAACCGATGCAGAACTACAGCTTTGACCAGTCTGAGGCTGACACTGTCCTGTTCTCCACCTATGTAGTTTTGCGCGAGTCAGGCTACAGTGGTCCAGTTGTCATCGATGCCACTGATACTGATGTATATGTTGCGGCAGCACTTATCTCACAGCAGCTGCCAGGTATGCTCTGTATCAAGAGGAAGCAGGAAACGGTACGCTGCTGTGACATGGCAACTGACATGATGGCCGACTGTATTGTGCAGCTGCATTGTATGACAGGCTGTGATGCAAACTCAGGCTTTTACGGCAAAGGTAAGAAGTCTGTGTATGACCAGGTGGCGAAGAGCCCTGTTGCCCGACAACAGCTCTCGCGATGTGGAGATAACCTTGCCCTGACAGAGGAGGTGCTGGAGCAGCTCTTTTCCTTCACACGTAGCATCATCTACGGTGACAACAAGAGCAAAACCATGGCTGAGGCCCGTGCTGCTAAATGGAGGACCATCAAAAAGAAATCCTTCATCCGTCTCCCTCCGGATGCCGACAGCTTGCGTCAACATTGCCTCCGTGCCAACTACCTGGCGTATCTGGTGCGCCATCCATCGCTAAGCACCATCCCTCACCAATCGGACATGGTTGGGAGCTGGTTGGTGGTTGCTGTCGCCCTGTACGTCACACGCGACCCGCACTCCCGATGCATCTACCTGCACCAAGGCCAACTGAAGAGGGACAGGAAGATGAGGAAGATGAGAGCGATGATGATGACGAAAATCGAGTTGCTGCTGTCCAGAGAGGCGATTCATCGGAATCGGAGGATTCAGAATGTAGCGAGGCAGGGTGCTCTGATTCAGACTGATACGGACTCTCAGTGTCATATTGATACATTTAAAAAAAAGCAGAATTGTGTTTCATTTGTGTTATTGTTCAAAACTTGCCATTTCTCGAGGCAGCATTTTTGCGTTATTACATGTTGTTTGAAGTGTTCTCATTTGCTAACTAGTCAAGTTACAGCTAATAAAAGTATTTTATTTGAAGGTTAAGTAGTTGTATATCTTGTCATACATTCTTATTTCATGGTAAAATATTAATATGCAGATTATTTGCTTATAAGTCGATCAGTACTCAAAACGTGTGTAATTTCTCGACCGGGTGGCGGCCATCTTGGATTTGTGGGTCCGAACGATGTCATAGCGCCAAACTGATGTCAGAAATGGAATCCTTGTGGTCGACTTACCCCAAAAAGTGCATTTACACATGACTCTAGGCGCTCTGGTTCAAAAGTTAATTTTTTAAGATGGCGCGAGCAGCCATCTTGGATTTGGCCCTCTAGCAAAAATTGCCGGGATTTTTGGGAGGGACCTTGGGTCTATATTTTTTATAAAAGGTCCAATGATGTCAAATCAAGTGTCAAAACATCTTAGCAGAAGAATGGTCACGGAATTGAGGTTCTAGACCCAACTATAGTCCTTATAACATATAAAACATGACACTATCTTGCATGATTCAAGTTTCAATTGTGTTTAGATATTATACGATTTGTCTGTGGTTTGTTTAGTACTATATTTTCTTTGCTAACTGTGTGAAGCACTTTGGTTTTCTGTTTGATAAGTGCTTTATAAACAAATACACAACATCTTTCCTTATAATGTGTAATACTTCATGGTGATTTCTGTATTGTGCTGAGTTCTGCTTTGGTCAGCTGAGGTTGATGAAATGCTATTTCACTTCATTATATGAATCGCTGATTAATCAGAAGTGTTGACAGCAATTTAAAGGCAAGAGTCACAGCTGCAGGAGGAGACAGAAGGCATTCATGTTTTAACACGGCTTTAAATGTGAGACCAGCTTTCACATCCGCTTTTCCTTCACATGCTTCCCTTGGTTTTTCAGATTGAACATTTTGTCCGGTCATTTTGTTTCTCTGCAAACTGTGGGTATCCAGTGCTAGCTATTAGAGCTACAACAGAAAGCATCATGGAGGAGGTGCTGAGGATGCACCCATGATGCTTTGGGCCCGGTGGGAAAAGAGGAGTGGCTTATTCTAATTCTCAGGATCAAAAAAAGGAGGAACTCTTTACTCATCCTGACTTTCATGCAAATATATTGAGTTCAAAACATCCGAGATACAAAACTGTAGCTGCAGTGGATTCAATGTTGGTTTAATAACCTGTGTCTGGCATATTTAGCTGCTGGTCAGAGCCTCAAACTCCTACACTGGATGCTGCATTTGAAAAGATGCCGCAAGATTAAGCTTGACATTTATTTTTTTAACACTGCTTTCAATTTGAGACTCCTTTAATGGATTTCACACCCGCCTTTCTTGCACACGTTTCCCCTGCTTTTCAGATCGCATTTGAACATTTTGTCCGGTCATGCTAAACGCTTCGAGCTGTCGGTAAACAGTGCTAGCCATCATAGCAACAACAAGGGAGGAGATGCTGAGGATGCAGGAGGAGATGCTGAGGATGCACCCTCATCACATATGATTCCTCGGGGTGGCTGACACCAGCACAGAGCAGATGGGGAAACTCACACAGGCCTATCAGTAAAGCCCGCTCTGGCACAAGCAGAGAACATCTGGCCTAAGAGGGATTACACCGAGAGTGAGGACGAGGATGGAGGGAAGGGATGAGGAGACACGATGAGGAATAACACTCTCCTTCCTGCTGCAATGTCTCCCCAGCATCCACGTCCATTGTGTGAACCCCCTCCTTCTCTGGCAACACACGCTGCTGTCCACTCAGCAGTCTGGGCATATCCCCCAGCTAAAGACAGGATCTGTTTCGTAACAGGGGAGGGGGCAGGAGCCTTTGTTTGCCTCCCTGTCACACACACACACACACACACACACACACACACACACACACACACACACACACACACACACACACACACTGCATAAAAACACAGAAAAATACTGATTCGGATGCCCTACCGTCCGTGGATGAGGGCAGGTGTGCTCGAGCTCCTCCATGATTCCCAAAGACTCATGGGATGCGGCTTTGGTCCCACTGTAATGTGACTCAGCATCAGTAAGAGACGCTGCCTCTCTCCTCCTCTTCACCCCTGTGTCTCTTTCTCCCTCCTCTCTTCCCCCGCCCACTCCCTGCTCTCTCTCTCCTCCTCTTCCTCCTCTCTGATGCCCTGCTGCGCAGAGCTGGGAGGAGGGATCACTCTGAAGCTAATTCTCAGGACCATAACAATAAAGAATTCTGCCGTAATCTGGGTTTTGTTGCAAATATGTTCCTTTTAAAGCATCCAGGGTACAACAGTAGTGTAGAAGTTGATTACATTTGCCTTTAGAGTATACACATCTGGCACAGAGCCTGAACAACATGGAGGAAACAAAATACTGAAAGTGTTGCATTTGAAAAGATGCTGCAAGAATGAAAATGACATGGCCAAAAGACAATGTAGTGGAGATGGTATTATGTGCAGTGCATCTGTAATGTGGTATTGCCCACCAACACATATAACCAAAATAATTCCCTTTATAATGTCTTCTTGTTTACCTGCCCGAGTCAGTGTGTGTTTGTGTGTGTGTGCTTATTTGTTTGACCTTTTCTTGCATTTTTATTGTATTCGTTGGTGATATATTGACAGCTTATTGAGCTTTGTGTTTTTGTCACACCCCTCCTTGCACATCTGTCCTCAATGCTGCAGATGTTCAAAAGCATTGACGGCTGTGTAAAAAACAAGGGCTGGGTCATTCCTAGCATTCGGTGCCATTTCAGCTAGGGTATTCAAAAATAGACATCATTTTCCATGTTTTTTTTAATTTAATCTGAATGATGGCTTGTTAAAGTATAAGAAAAATGTTTGGTATATATAAATATTTTGGTCAAACTCAGGATATTATGTTTAATTACCATCCCCAGTTACTGTGTGTCCACCCTGTTACTGTGAACAATAGTAACAGGGTGGACATGTTATGCTAAACTTGGCTATTGCTACATGTGTGATGATAATCAAGCTAGCATACAAACATATATTTGATAGATATATTCACCATATTTTCTAAATGTAAAACAAATGATCAGTTCCACTAAAAATGAGCATAACAGGGTGGACATGTTAAGCTTTACCGCAACAGTCAAGTTCTTTAAAACATTAAAAAACGTTGAAGGAAGAACGCATTCACTCTGCTTCTTGAAGTTGGTTTTCCCACTCAAAAGGTATCCTTATTTTTCTTGAGTCATACAAATAGTAGAATAGTAAAGGGGCGTGTCCAGAGGGATTCAAATCAGAGTAACAGGGGGGACATTCAAACAGGGGACACACACTTTATTTTCAATACAAATTAATTAATAACAACAATTTCAATTTGGTGTAGAATTTGTTTGATTTCTTTTTGTATATCTGTTACAGAAGTTGAGCAAACATGATTGGGGACTCAGAAATGTGGCCTACTTGTGCTAACATCAGAGTAATTGTTTAGAATTTGGAATATCCTGGCTAAATAACATTGTTGTTTTATGGTAGAGGGTATACACATTTAAAACCAAGCTTTTAAAAAATAAGCATTAGACCTTTAAAATACAAAATATATGATATAATGTGGTGGGGACCTAAATGGCACCGAATGGAACGACCCGGCTATTGAAGATTGCTATGGGCTAAATATACAATACATCTTATATTGTTTCCTGTGAGTGATTCATTGTGTTGAATACACGATCTTTGTGCACAGAGCTGATGAGCTCTCTCCATGGCGACCGAAAAGAGGAGAGAGCTCCAGGAAAAGGACCAATCAGAGGAGAGATACAACAGAGAGGCAGTGAGATAGGAGAGGATTGGTGGAGAGGATCATAGCACCATCAGTGAGATGATACTGAGAATTATTCACTGGCTGGGCATGCAATTAGTCCGAGAGGAGAATGGAGAGTATTTGAGAGTCACACATAGTTTAGATTCTGCTTTTAGGAGGTTTTGTAAAAAAATACCAAAATATCTTGATATTGGAAACAAGATTCAGCTTTATATATAACATGTATTTATGGTTTAGTATTGTTCGATGTCTCTTGTATCTAGTTTCGTTATATCGTCTACAATCACACTCATTTGCGAGAGTGATGCATCCGAGTGTGTATTTTGCACATTCAATAGGATCGTTGATATGCTAAACAAGGCTTATTTTCTGTTGTCCCCAGCTTTTTGGCAAACTTTCAGTAACCGACTAGACTAGAATAATGTAGTGAAAGTTGCATCCTTACCGTGTGTGTTCCTCTCCTGCAACAGACAGACGCGCAACAGGAATGCGCTCTGATGCGTCGCTGTTTCACCATCGTAATCCAAAAAACCGAACAATATGTAAAGTAAAGTGTTAACTCGCTTCTCTGACTGGTTTCTGTTCAGTCCGAGGCAGCAGCAGCTTCCTGCCTGCCTGCCTGCCTGCCTGCCTGTCTGTCTGTCTGTCTGTCTGTCTGTCTGTCCACTGTGTCCAGAGACAGCTCAGCTGCTCAGCGCTGATGAGCTTCGACAATTTGTTCCACGGTCCATTTAACAGACCTACAGCCCTCCCTATTGTACTACAGTGCAGGACCTCATTCATGCATGTGCAACTTGTAGCGTCAATACAAAACAAAGTGAACAATGTGTTTCAAAATAAAAGTTGAAACCTAAAAAAACGCACAAACAACTTCAAAAGTCACCGAAATGACAGAGAACCCCTCTTCACTGAACAGGTCTTCACTCACATATGAATTACCACAGTTATTTATGGCACAAAAGCCAAATCAGGCTGCAGGGACGCAGGACAAAACCCTCTTTGTGTTTTCTTTGTTGGCCTCACTGTATGTCGCTGTGGCCCCAATCTGGGACAGGAGCCCATTGTGCCAACCGGTGTCCATGGAAACGAGCTTCATCACAGGCATTAACTTAAATAAAAGTTGGTGGTGTTATTGCCTGGAAATTGAAAACAGCATGGCGTCACCACAGGCACCTTAGACAAGACTTATTCTGATGGAAACAATGTTTTTGTTATATATCCATGCATGTGAAAAAGCCAATTAGAGGAAAAGCAAGTGCTGAAACCACCTCAGTGGATTATGTCTGTAAACAAGTTTGGTACATATAAGATTGATTCTATTTTAGGTAAAGGATAATGCCTCTCATACAAACTGGTGTTTCATACAAGTGTTTTTATACATGTTATGTGTAATTATTATGTTTGTATTATTGTTATATATTCATAATTTACACGCCCAGGGTCAAAAGTATTGTTTTATATATCCAAATGATGTTAGTTTACATGTATATAAACGTACAGTATTCTTCTATTATATAAAACATATTTCATTTTATTTTTAAATCCTTATTTATTAATTAATGTGTTTGCCTTTATGTGTGCATTTTGTATCTGTGTAGGAAACAATAAAATCATATATGAAATAAAAATAAGAAAGGAATGTAGAAATAATAATAAATACACATAAATAAATAAAAAATAAACATTAATTTAAATACTAAAAAATGTATTTATCTATTTTATTGAATGAATTAATAAAATATGTATAATATTTAACAGTTTACATACCTTTTGAATCCTGTGCATTAAACAACACGATGGACCAACACTGCTCCCCTGTGGTCAGAGTAGAGACTGCAGCGCTTCTTTTAATTGGCTTACAGCTTTGTGATGTCACTTCCTGCGTATGACTTTCCCCGGGAAGCAGATTTGGCGCGCGGTGTGTGCTGTTGTTGTGTTGACCTGCCAGTCAGTGAGCAACACGTCAAAGTTATTAAAGATTTATTAAAGTTATGGCTCCGGTTTCTAACCCAGAGAAAGATATGGATGCTCCCGATGCTCCGGACGGCGGTGAGTTCTTGTTATCGAGTTGAATACTAGCTTAATTGAGCTACAATACACAGGGAGAGTTAGCTAACATTAGCTTACTTTTGTCAATCCATAACAAGGGACATG